TTGTGTGCCATCAAGTTGGAACCAAATCATAGTTGACCCTCCAGCAGGTTTTCAGGGGCTGTAAATCACACAGGAGGAGATTACTTATCCTTCTCCCACAGAGCCGACTTGGACCAAATAGCCTTTGGGATTGCAGTACAGTTTCTTACCACTAGGCCACTTTTATCAAATTCATATAATCAAGGTATTACTATGATCAAGAACTCACTGATCAAGTTTGGTAGTACCTCAACTGTTGTATTACTTCTATTCATGGTATTCTGATTCCGTCCATCATTTCTTCTACATTTTTAGTTGGTTTACTACTTAAAGAGAAGCTTTTTCTTCTTCATCTTTTATTGATTGTTTATGGATTGTGTGGTAGTGGTTATGTGCTTTCAAATCAAAACTGACTTATAGCTGACTCTAGAAAGTTTTCAGACACTATAAATCTCATAGGAAAAAAATAACTCATCTTTCTCAGTAGATTAGAGGAATTTACCAGCAGCTGGTGGATTTGAATCATGTGCTTTTAGATTGGCAGTGCAATGCCTTACCACTAACCCTCTTGATCTCATTTATGGGGTATTACTTATTTTCCACATATTAATTCTTTATCCAACCATAAAACAGTATTTTGACTGGGCATTTATATTGTTGTTGTGTTGTACCATCGAGTTGGAATCAACTCATAGTTCACCCTCTAGGAGGTTTTCCGAGGCAGTAAATTGCTCGAGAAGAGATTTTTGCTCATTTTTCTCCAACAAGAGGCTGATGGATTTGAGCCATATGCCTTTGAGTAGAATCCACCAAGAAACCTTAAACAGTTTACAGAGATCTTATTGTTATTGTAATGACACTGGGTTTGTTTTTCTTTAAACTTACACACATATTATTGTTGTTAAATGCTATTAAGTCGAGTATGACCCTATGCGGAGCAGATCTGAACTCTGCCCTATCTTGTGCCATCCTTATCATCTCTGAAATATTTGAGTCCATTGCTGCAGTTGCTGTGCCAGTCCATCTCTTTGAGGGTCTTCCTCTCTTTTGCTGGCCTTCCACCTTTCCAAGTTTGTCCTTTTTCAGAGACAACATGTCCTTCTAACAACATGTCCAAAGTATGTGAGATGAAGCTTCACTATCCTTGCCTCTAAGAAGAACTCTGCATTTTCTCTAAGACATATTTGTTTGTTCTTTTGGCTGTCTATGGAATATTCGGTACTCTTCTCCAACACCACAGCTCAAGGGCTTTGATGATTCTTCTGTCATTCTTATTCATTGCCCAGCTCTCAGAGGCATAGCAAGTGATTGAAAACACCATTGCCTGAATCAGGTGTATCTTAGTCTTTAAATTTACTCCATTGCTCCTCAGTACTTTGCAGAAGTCCCTAACAGCAGACTTTCCCAATGCAATACATCTTTTGATTGACAAACCAAATAAGTAATCATGATAATGTCATTAGGTATCAAGATTACAAAATCAAAGAAGTAAAAACCTTAAAATAACAAAAAATTCCTAATT